TATATATATATATATATAGATATAGATATATATATATATATATGTATGTGTGTGTGTGTGTGCGTGCGCGTGTGTGTGCGTGAGTGCGCGCGCGCGCGTGTGTGTGATATAACATTTAGTCAATTTTTAAAATTCAAAACTAAAATTAAATCAAACAAAAATATTATAAAATTTTTTGTATCGGTTTTATTTGGTTTTAGGTTTTGTTCGTATTTACCCGTAAAACAGTACAGTTGAATTTATACGTGGTTTATAGACAAGTGAATTAATTGATCTTGAAATAATAGATGAATTAGATAAAAATAAGATATTTAGCCTTGTTGAGATAAAATAGCATAAATGGTAATTCCGAAAGCAGGGCTTCCGGGCACAATAGAGATGATATTATTAAACAAGAAGGTAAGATTATATTGAGCTTTAAATAGAAAGTAGTGTATTTTTTTGCCAGAACTCGTGCCCTTTATAATGATAATAGAGCTCACTATTTATAGTTGCGCCTAGGGAACAAGGTCCTAGGATTAAGCCCCTCTTTAATGTCAATTATGAGAACCATTGAAGAATGTGTCACGGCAGCCAGTGAATGCCATATTCCTTATAGCGGGTCGTGTACTTAATGTTGTAGAATAATCCTCATTGAATGCCACCGGGTGGCAGGCATTTACTTCATCTTTATGAATATCGTTCTTTCCGGTGACAGATGGGATCGTTGCTTTTGGTTTTAACTATTTTCCGTCTTCGGCTCCACGTGTCACTTCCTCGTGCGATAATTTAATACAAATATATTTTACCCTATACAGATAGTCCCCCTGCTTTCCGGTGGCATAACTTTGTGTCACGGGGAAGTTGGTAGAAACACCTTTTTGGCGGAAAATTTTTCTGACGGTTGATTAGACGCATGTTTCTCCGCATTTAATACCCCGAATACGCGTCATCCCGTGATTTAGCATCATTTTGTCGGTTATCGAGGTAATTATAGCCACGATTCTAGCAGTCTATTCCTTCACTTATACGCATCAAACTTCTTCATTCACACTTCATAATTTTTTGAACTTTCTCAAACTCTCTTCATTCAACTCGTACTCTGTCTCCAACCTTTCTTTAACTTTCTTCTTAAGAGAAAAGATTTTCCTTCTTTTTCTAATACAGAATGGCTTCTTCTTCTAAAAGCCCTAGTTCCTCAAAGAACAAAAGCAAAGCGGATGAGGATGCTCCTCATACGTTGAGCACCATTGATAATTATGGATTTTAGCCTATCTTATGCTCTCTTTTGCTTAGGTTTTGGATCAAAAATGTGTAAAAGTATACCCGAAAACTGACTTAATGTGCTTGTCTGCAGGGTTTGGTCAAAATGAGGCAAGAAAGCCATAATCAACTCATGAAGGAGTTAAATTTGCACAAGTTCAAAGCTGAGACTGAAGCGCTGACCGCAATGGAAAAGAGCGGTCGCGTAAGGTCCACCGCTGAAGTGGCCACAATTACGCGGTCCGCGGAAGTGAGATTCAAAGAAGATATTTTGGGTACAACAGTGACCGCTGACCGCGATGAAAAAGCACGGCCGCGGAATACCTGACGCGACCGCGATGGTATTTTCGCTTAATGATTGAAGTTCAAAGACTCTGCAAGTTGAGCTTAACTGAGGAGTGCAGTCCGCGTCCAAATTACGACGGTCGCGGTTGATGCTAACACGGAGGCGGTGACTTTTACGTTGTCCGCGAAACCAAGTCCAAACCAAGCACAAAATTGAAGAAACGTGGTCCGCGCTGAGGCGCTTAGTATTTCGCTCACAGCGGAACCTCCGTAGGGGTATTTTTGTCCAGTAATTTTAACTGTGTATAAATAGATCTTTTTCACATTTATAGGTTATCTTTTGTATTGACCTCGTGAACAACCGTACTTTACCATTTAGAGTAATTTTAGAGTAGCTTTAGCTTAAATTCTTAGGTTTTTTTTTTGTAATCAACTTTTATGGCTTATATTTCATCTCCAACTTTGATTTCTATCTTGATTATGAGTAGCTAAACCCATTAACTAGGGATGTGACCCAACCCTAGTGTGGGTATTTAATGGGTCTTCAATTTTAGGGCTTATTTGTTTATGGGTTAGTGATATTTAGCTTAATTCATTTTTTAATTGTAGAATTGGTGGTTGCAAACACTGATTCATGCCTTGATGACTTAGACTCTTCTTGAGAAAGAGAGACTAAGTCTAGGAAAATTAGGCTAACAAAAGTTGGGTGCATTCAAGAGATTGATAGCCCCAATTAAAGGGTTAAATCTAGAGATAGTAATATCCGACTTGAGCCAATATCATTTGTTATGCATGAACACCCATTTGGAGTTGAGAAAGTCAAATCGGGCAAAGTCACTCAAACTAATATAGTGAGCACTTATGTGTGATGGTTATATCATGACCCCAATCATAACAAGCTTGTCCTAAATTCTAGATCCCATTAGATACTCGCCTAGGTGTAAGTCACTTCCCTAGTGCTTTTTTATCAATTGAGAAAACTCCTACAAAAATATTGTACTTAGATTATTTTCAGCAATCAATAGCATTAAACGTAGAATGAAAACAAATCCAAGCATGGTTAGAAGTGCAATTAAAAGCAACATGGATTGCTAGATTGGATAGAAACCCAACTCCCAACCAATATTAACTCCCTGTGGATATCAATCCCGACCTTTCGGGTAAAAGCTGCATCGACCACTCCTCGCCATTATATAGTGGTGCAGGGTGGAGCCGATCACTTTTTGGCACCGTTTTCGGGGAGTTAAACGGCTTTGGCTATCTATCTAACTAGTTGTGTGTCTTGTTTTTCTTTCCTTCTATTTTACTAACTTGTGTGAGTTAATCGATTTAGGTACAAAGTGGCAAATAATGATCCTCTCGAAGATGTTCTCCCGAGGGAGGAGGTAGATGATAATGCTGAAGATGAGGTGCCTCTAGTACCTCAAGTTCAAAGAAGAGGCCGCTAGGCCAATGAAAACATTCCAGACCCTGCCCTAGCTCCTCCGCAAACAGCTCCTCGGGTGCTTCCAAATGAAGGTTACGCAAGTGCAATTGTCCCACCCCGGATCCGGGCGGGCAATTTCCATATTACAAATGTCATGTTGACCTTATTGGAACAAAGAGGGTACTTCACAGGCGCTCCCCATCAGAATGCATATAAACATCTAAAGGGCTTTGTGGATACCTGTTGGGGAAGCAAACAGACGAATGTGTTGGAGGATGCATTGAGACTGAGATTGTTCTCTTTTTCACTTAGAGGGAAAGCTTTGGACTGGCTCGAAAGACTCCCCAACCATTCCATCACCACGTGGGATGAGTTGGCCGACAAGTTTATAGCCAAGTTTTTCTCACTGAGGCATATGGAAACACTGAGAGATGAGATCCTCGCCTTTAAACAAGAGCCAAATGAACCGCATCATGAGATCCGGGAAAGGTATCGGACGTTGGTTAAAGAATGCCCGAACAATGACATGACCGAAGCCATGATCCAGCAAACATTTTACCGTGGCATCAACACTACCAACCAGTGTGTAGTTAACCAGCTAGCAGGGGAAAACTTTATGAACACACATTATGTTGAGGCGTGTGATATACTTGATGAGATGACAGATACTTCCTCGGCGTGGCAAAGTCAAGCTAATGTGCCACAAGGTGATCCCAATGACATTCACTTGCACAAAGAGCTCCATGACCACGGCCAAACAATAGCAGAGTTGACTACAACAATGAACCAGTTGGCCAAGGCTCAATTGCAGCAAGTTCAAGCGCCAAGACAAGTGAATGCCATGGAAGGGGTA